CAAATGCTTAACTGACTGAGCCACTCAGGCGCCCTAATAATATTTTTAGCATAATCAAGTTTTCCCCCCTACATTTGCATAACTGCCTTGTATTTCTTAATTTAGTCATTGGCATTTAATTTCTCAGGAATGGATAATGCAATAGGAAAGCTAGTTTTGGGGCACCTGGGTGGCTCAGTTGGTTAAGAGTCTGATTCTTGTTCTCAGCTCAGGACTTGATCGTAGGATGGTGAGTTTGGGCCCTGTTCTGGGCATGGAGACCTCCTTAAAAAAAAAAAAAAAAAAGCCAGTTTTAAGTTTCAGAAGCCTAAACTCAAAGGATGCACTGTTTCTAAATAATAGCATTATAAGGAAAGAGGAAGAACTAGGTTGTCCATAGCAAAAGATTCTCTGGAATGGAGGAGGGGAAGAATTGAAAGGAACAAGAGCTTTAGTTACCAGAGTACACTCTTGAGAAAGGACTATGTATTCTTTCTCCATTAGCTGGGTACCTGTTGGTGTTGGGGAAGAGAGAGAAAATGATAAGTGATTCAAATAATTACATTTAATATTATATAACAGTTATACTTCAATAAAAATTAATTATTTAAAGATACAAATAAACAACTGAGTACCTACCGTGTACTAACAGTTATACAGGAGCAAACAAAATATGAACCCTACACCCAGAGAGGTCATAGTTTAGAAGAGAAGAAATATAATACCATTTGACAAGTGATTAAGCAAATATATGTACAAAAAACAGAGGTAGACCAGAAGACAAAGTGATTAATTTCTAAAAGCATTTTTTCCCCTTTATAATAGAGATCTAAAATCTTCAGGGAATTTCTTTTTGTGGAAAAAAAATCAAATTTTCCTTTATTTGTTATGTAAACTAAAAGTTTATGCATGCCTCAACTTACTACATCTCCAGTTATCAGCCTTTAAGCCTAATGATCACTGTTTGTCAAATGGTCCTGAATGTATTTCTATTCCTAACCTGAAAGTAGTCAACATCACACTTATTACAGAGTTAAACTTGTAGCTAAATAATCCTTAACTTGTCCTTTTTCTATACCATGTTTTGAAGAATTACAGTAAAATAATCATTACTTATGTGTTCCATGTTTTCAGGCATACAGCATAATGTTTCAACATTTGTATACATTGTAAAATGATCAACACAATAAACCTAGCTACCAAGTGACACTAACCAAAGCTATAACTTTTTTTCTTGTGGAGGGGAGTTTTAAGGATTACTTATTTACAATTTGTAATACTGTATTATTGACCATAGTCACCATTGCTGTACATTACACCCTCATGGCTTATTTATTTTATAATTGGTGGACTTCACCCATTTCACTGCCCTCCTCCAGCAAATTTATTGAATTGAGTTGAATTGGGTTAAGATGCTAACTTCTAGTATTCAATCTCCAGAGTAGGTCTTTTTTGAGTATTTCCATATGGGTAAATTGGAGCAAAGAGTGATAATCAAATCTTTGTTTCAGTTTTCAGGATTGGAAAAACCAGTCATGATCTAAGCAAAGTGGAACTTCGGGGTTCTCTTAAATCTGGACATTTGTCTAACATTGGAGTGGGCTTCCTAATTACTTATTTCATTTATTTCTTTTTTGATAGTTGATTGCTAGAATCATGCCTTTCAGGTTGGTGGCCAAGAACATCTGTAAAAAGGAGTAAGATTTGCCACCTTTCAATTCTAATGTTATACAATGAGGTTCTTGATGGTATGCCACATTTGGGAGTGGGCATTCTTACCTTTCCTAAATGGTCAAATGTCATCATTTTTTAAGTTGTCAAGAAAGAACAGTTCGGGTATTTCTTGAATTTGTTAAATTCAGCTAAACAATTTTAGACTGATGAAGCTATTAAATCTACATAAGATACTTTAAGTTGTTCAGAACATTTGTATATATCCCAAAGGATAGAAGTACCAAGGAGTAACACTTAAGTAAATGATAGGAACAGTGCTCTGACACATTGACATATGTGAAAAATAGTCATTTAAAAATACTAATCTTCAGCTAATATTATTATCAACAACATAGTATTAATGTTCAGAATATATTTCTGACCTTGTTGCCCACCTCAAGTTTAGCTCTTTAATACTAAGAAGGGTCAAAGCAAAGGACTTTCTGATCTAAGCCAGAACCCAATATTACCATGAAAAAGTGTTTTCTTGAAGTGCTAGCGTTGGCAGTAATGTTTAGAACCCAATACTACCAGGATGAAAAAGTGTTTTCTTGAAGTGCTAGCGTTAGCAGTAATGTTTAGAATCCAGTGTCTTCTTCAAATACAATTAGATGTATCAAATAAAATATTAGATGCCCTCTTCTCTAAGATAAACACTGTATTAATGTGCATATCTTAACCCCCAGGGCTTAAAATAGCAAAAGGAGGTAGGGACTGAAAGGACATTGGCTCCATGCTGACTTGCATACTTGGGGGGATTAGTAAAATTTGAGGTCAGCAAGAGTCCCAGGATCCAGGAAGGAAGCACACCATGGTGGCTGTGTTCCTTTAATATTGGCCACTCCATGGGCAGCTGGAAAGGAAGGTGGCTCTTCTGTTTAGTGCTCTCTGTAATTCCCCTTTGCATGGTTGGCTTGTGGCCCATTACTACTTTTATTTCATTCTTCAGAGAGGAAAATTCCACATTCATATTGCTCAGTATGACAGGAAATAGCATCAGTAGCACAGTGCCTCACACGTAGTAGGACTGACTGAATGAAAATTGGACTATTATCTCATTCCAGTAAAATGTCTGGAACATTCAGTTCCTTGGACACATTTAGTCTTTGTAATACTTAATGTTATGTTTGAAATTATGGCTGTCAAATTGTGCTAATGAAATCTCACTGGGTTTCTACATAAAACAAGCTAAAGAGGAACTCATTTTTAATCTAGGATCCAAGGAAACTTAACTGTAGTGGAAAGAGTGCTGGACTTGGAGAAATGTAAAATTTACCTGGAGGAATTTTTCAAAAAACATATCCTCAGCTACTTCCTTTCTTAGCCTCCACTAAGGACGTATCAGAATCTCCAAGGTAAAGAGTATATAGTGAAGGGGCAGGGGAAGCTGCTCATACAAATAGGAGTTTCTCTTCCCCAACCTCTATTCTTTTCACTTTCTGAGTTTGAAAATGAATGGAGAGGTTGATTTCCTAGGGCCTATCTGTAAAATGCTATGGTTTTGTTAATAAAAATTCCACTCCCTAGTGATGCTTTTCTTCCCAGAAGTTATATATTCTATACTTACCTTCTTCACTGGACTTATTATGTGGAAATATTTTCTGAGGATATAGGCCTTAATTCCAAAGTCTTTTGAGTGTAAAATAGAAGTAGTAGATTAAATGAGGATCATTTTCTTTCCCCACGTTTCTTTTTGCTAAGCTAGCAAAAATACCTTGGATCAGAGAACTGTAGAGATACGGGCTTGCTTGATCTCTAGAAGTACAATGTCTCTGTTGAAACTCTGGCTAAGTCCTGTTGCATTGATAGAAATAGTAGCTCCAGCATATAGTGAACACTCAGGAAATAGTTGTTCCAGCAAAGTACTACGTGGTTTAATAATATACACTATAGGAAAATACTGATTAAAAATAATTTAAAATACTATCTTATTTTTATTTTGGCTTTCAGAACAAAAAGTTAGACTTTTTCCTAGTTACATTTGAATTCTTTTTGAACAAATATAAATTGGATGACTTAGAGTTTCCTAATGAGATAGAAATAATTCTTCTAGAGAGGTTATCACTTTTCTACTAATAAGTTGTTTGTGATAATCTGCTATAGTCATGTGAGTGGAAAGAGAGCCTTTATTTATCAATCCGTGGTAGAAAGTCAAGTAGGGCCCCAAATTAGCAAATTCTCAATTAACACCTTGTTATTTAAGTCCTTGGAATCATCTCTATGTGTTGTGCACAAAGTTGCTACTCAAATATACTAATCATTATGGTTTATAAAAAATGTTTTCTTATCATCAAAATAATAGTTTATTGTAAAGAATTGTATTGAGAAGGTAAACAGATAAAAGTTATTAATAATTCCACCTATGAGGAATGTTGTGGAAAATTTTGGTGTGTTGCTGAAAATAATTCAGTATTCATTCCTGCTGATGACTGCCTTTTAAATCTGGTGAAAATCTTATTTAAGATAAGCTATCTGAATGATTTTTAGTCATACTTGTTTAACCCCTCTTCATTTGTAACCTCTATACTCAGCCTGGGATTCAATGATACATTTGTTTCATTACTTAAAATAGTCTGGATCTATAATCAATTCTAGAAAATATGTGGTCACTCAGCAGCCATTATCAACTTCTTTTCCCTAGAAAAGAGCTCCTCTGGCTCATTTTCTCCCATGGATTAGAGAATCCCTGTACTCCTCTTTTGCTGAGACTTTTAAGGCAAAAGGGTACATGCTTAGGCTACTCTTGTCAGATTCATTATCTTTTCAAAATGCTTTAGTATCTTGATAATTGCTACTATCAAAATACTTTCTTTCCTTATTATTTTTGTTGGGAAGTCATAGAAAAATATATTTTATTTGTGATAATGTGTGACTTACCCAAGTTTTTTATAATTAAAATATTGAAAAGTATCTGTCTACCCAATTCTTACTGTGTCAGCAATGACTAGTTTCAGTCTCACAAAGGAATATCAATTTTGGTGCCATTTTATCTGTCTTTAAAAACCCCATCTACTCAGAGCAGGACATCTAGTACACCTTATTAGCATCCTCTTGTTTGAATTATGTCTCCTATGGGATCTGGGAATGAAGTGAAGTGCCTCAAAGTGTTAAAATCTGGCTGAGCTGGTTGGAGGGTACCTTGGATGAGTCTGTATTAAGAAGTTGGCATCTTAGGCGAGATTCTCAATGTCCATTAGACTTGCAGCCTTTCTGGCTGTATTTTATACCAGTAGTCAGGTGTGGGCAGTGACACAGGGCTTGGGAGATCTCTCTTACCGGCCCAGGGATCCAAGGCATTCAGTGCAAAACCTGGCCAGCAGCCCGAGTGAGTAGGAGCCATGTGACTCTGGTGAGTTGGAGTGTGCAATTGCCTCCTGCTTCAGAGCTACCTGATCCGAATACTAAGCAGAATACTAAGCAGAGCGAGTGCCGGGCTGAGTGTAGGACATTGAAGACACTGCAGAGAAAGGTGCTTATTCCAGAGGCATTACAAAACATGGAGATTAAAGACCAGGGAGCTCAAATGGAGCCGCTGCTGCCTACGGTAAGAGACAACCTGCTGTCACAGATTAACCGCGTTTGCTGCAGAACCTGTCAGGCAAGCGGTCGGCTGGCTAGATGCAGTGATCGTACTTTTGGGGTGGTGGATAGCTCCCACGACATATGGACAGGGGTCTCCTCCCATCTCGGGTGACTGAAATGCATAACGCAAAGCACATGATTTTTTTCCCCCCTCTTCTCAATATGGATGCACTACGGTGATGAAATGTCTCATGTCTGCTGCTGTTTGAAGAGATGGCTAGGTTTTAGCAGCAGGGGCAGCTGTGTGTCTCTCTTCTTGCCTGTTTCTGCCTATCTCTGTTTCCCAGCTGTGCAGTGGTGGCTGAAGACCCTGCAAAGAAGCCCCCCCCCCTTTTTTTTTATCATATTCCATTCGTGTTAAATTTCTTCTCTGTGCCTGATCCCCCGGCAGGGAGGTAGGGAATCTGCTGCTGTTGCAGCTGTAGAGTTTTAGCCTGCAGAAACCAGGGGGAAGGAGAACGGGAGGATGTGTGTGTGTGTGTGTGTGTGTGTGTGTGTGTGTGTGTGTTCTGTCAGTCTCTTAAAAGGAAATGTGTCATGGTTCACATACAAAGAAGGTATGCATTTTAGGGGACAAGCAGACAATTTAGCTTAGAATATCTGAAAGGTTCCTGAATTGTTATTTTAGAAAAAGCCTGTTTATTTCTGGATCTTAGGACACCTCCCTAGATATAATTCTTGGGTAAGTAGTTGGTTTGCCTATCCTCTCTACAATCTCTCTGGCTGGCTTACAGACTTTGTAGCTCTTTAGGCAACATCTTTCTCTGTCTGGAGCAGCTGATGTTGCTATGTTCAAGGGGGAAAAAAAAAGAAAACAACAACAACAACAACAACAACAACAACAACAACAACAACGACAACAGTATTTTCTTGATGCAACAGAAATGCCAAATGTAAGCTTCCAGCCATCTATCAGCATTATCACAGCTCAGAACAGCAGAAATCTCCTCCCTGCACCAAATCAGGAAGAGGGGCTGTTCTCAGCTCTGTGTTACTCAGGTTGGTGACCCACCTTGCAGACTAGGGACTGGCAGCAGGCTGTCCATTTCCAAATCCATTCCAAGGCTTTGAACACATCTTTACATCAAATGATACCTCGGAGGAGGGGGTGGGCAAATTCTGGGCCACTGTATTTTTAGGGCCTTACCTCTCCTGCTGGGCTCAAAATCTGCAAAAGATGCCAGTTTGCATCCGGAATTGGCTGTGGCTACTGAGCATGCTCAGTTTTCCTCAGGACGCTAGATTTGGGCTGGGAGGGAGCAGGAGGATGGGAAGAATGCAGGCATCACCACTGCGAATGGAACCTAAATAAAGAGCAGGGCAGTGAGGGGGAAAAAGGAAGCATATCAATTAGCCTGCCTGCTTAAAAGTAGAGACATTTCTTTATGGATCAAAGCAGAGTTATTTTATGAAAAGGAGAGTAAAAGATTTGTCTATCTTCCCAAACTTGAATCAATACATAAATTAGGATTCTGTGGGTACTCAGAATAAAGGATGGCAAGAATATCAGAGAACTATCATTTCTTGGATAAAAGGAAGGAACTATACATAGGAATTGAGGGATGGAGATTCAGGAAAAGTTAAGGTATAGGGAAAAAACCTTTTTTGGGGGGGAAGGGGTTTGGAAGTTGTCCTAGAAAAGCAGGCTGAAGTCAGTTTGATGTGGCATTTGAGTTGTCACTTGTAGGGAACACAAAGGGTTTGGGACAAAATGAGGATTAACTGGAGGAATTTACAAGGGGATAGCTTTACTGGGCTAGAAGGGCAATCAGTGTGTGACTTAAAGGAATAGAGAAAATACAAGTGTAGCTAGAAAAGAAGGTTTATAATCAGTCTGATGGAGATTTTTGAAGAGTCCAAAGTTGCATTTTATGTGGAAAATGGCCAGTACAGAATAGTTACATAGTTACATAGCTTAATGGCAAAAGAAGATCATGCTTACAGTTCATTATATGAAAAATAAACTTGACAGACTAAAACGGATGCTGAATTACTGGCCTACTTTGATATTTATATAGTATTTTCAGCTTTTCCAATTGCTTTTATGCCTTTTTATTTCTTTTAGTTTTCAGAACAATCATGTTATATAAAGCGGATTTTATTATTTTATTTTAAAAATGAGAAATTGAGGCATAGGGAGTTGGAAAAACATGTCTAAGGTCACACAGTATTGAAGCCAGGACTGGAATATAGGTCTTCTAAAACTAGTTCAGAAAAAAAGCACTTTTTCTTTTTTCTTTTTTTTTTTTTTTACATTACATTATTAATCAGGCTTATCATAATCAGATCCTGGACTGGAGTTTTTGTACTTGAAAGAGAAAGGAAGAAATAGCTTTGGACTCTGTTTTAGAAAATTAATCAGATGACTTTGCAAATAGTTATGTAAGAGGCAGTATGGCATACTATTTAAAAGCAGTCTAGTAGGTCTCATTAGTAAAGTTAGAATTAATCTTTTGAAAGTATGAAGCTAGGAATTTAGGATATTGCATAGGACTTCAAACTTTTCATTGACATTCAGAGTTGAGTTTGCTTCTAGGAGTAACCTGACAATCTTTAAATTATTAGACCTTGGAAGAGACTTCTAGGAGAATATTTTTATAACAAATATTTTTATCTCATGCCATTTAATATTGGGTGATATTGTAGTGGTTCCATGTTGGATCCCTTCTAAAATTCTGCCTAAAAGGAACTTATTTTAACTTGAACTTGCTTATAAAACTGCCCTGAGGTGTGGAACTAGAGTTAAGATTGCTTTTTAAAGGTAATTTGTTGGTATAGAGTAGGTGGTGGAAGATAGCACCTTTTAAAATGCTAATTCTAGATTTCCAAATGGCCCAGTTTATTGCTTTGTCAGGGAAAAAGAAGTTATGAAAGGTCTTTATTATTAAATTGGGGAAAGGGAAATGGGACTAAAATGTCTAAGTAACAAAAAGAAAACATAACTTGGCTAAGTAATATTGGTATTTTTATTTTACTTAGATAGTAATTTAGATTATAATACTAATTTAAAGAAAACATACTCTCATAGTAATGCATAGTACACACATAGTATAGTTATACATAGTAATACATAGGAAGCAAGATGCGTTATAAGAAACAAATTCTTTTCCTCTTTATAACTTGGATTCTTACTCTACAATGGTGAGTGACTATAGAAATAAATGTTATGTATAGGGTGATAAGGTTGCTGATGAGTGGGAGAGTCTAAAGCCTACAAGATTAAGTTTATATTAAAGATATTGAGGTCAGATGAGGAAGTGAGATATTTTTGATGGAGAATTAGAAACTATCTGGACAAAGGTCTGGAACTCAAATAGAGTCAGTGAGTATGGCCACAAAAATATTCACACTTCCAGGTGTCATTTCTTCCCAACCCTGGGATGATGGTTGCTTCGGTAGTCTAAGCTGGGCATAGAGAAACTACAGTGCATTGCAAGATGCATCGAGTGAATGGGGAAGTGTGGGTGCCGTGTTCTACCCTTCGTGGAGAGAAACTCCCCCCTTCCACATGTTCATACCTCATAGAAATCATGACACTGATCACTTGGCTTTCTGTGAGGAACCACTTTTAATCTGCATAGTAATATCAGTTAAGTTTTATTTATTTTTAGGTAAAATAAATGTAAATTAAAGTTCTAATATATTGTCTCTCTTAAAGAGTTGTTTCAGATTCTCCTGAGAGATATGTTGCTCTTATTTAGAAAAAAGAATTAACTAGTATTTAATGTATCTCTTTTATGGAATCATAAATATTTTGGTCAGAAAAGGACTGGAGAGCTCAACGGCATGTTTTGGGCTAACTCCTTAATTTACACGTGGTGAAATTGGATACCAAAGACATAAGAATGTGTATTTAAGGCCATTCCGCTTACACCAGTTAATGGCAGAGCTCAGATCTCTTGATTCTTTCTACCATAGTATAGTTCCTCCTTATTTTTTTTTTTTAATTTTATTCATTTATTTGGCAGAGAGAGAGAGTGTGCACAAGTAGGCAGAGCGGCAGGCAAAGGGAGAGGGAGAAGCAGGCTCACCCTGGGATCATGACCCGAGCTGAAAGCAGATGCTTAACCAACTGAGCCACCCAGACACCCCGTGTCATCCCTCTTCTAGCATAGAGTAAACATCTGAGTGCCAGATTAAAATGATGATGGTAATTGGACAATCTTTACAAAGTAATAATAGATACTGTCTCAGGCTCACACTAAGCACAGACGTCTCTAGTCTTCATGATGATCCTGAAAGTTTGCTAATGTTATCCAGCCTTGCAGATAAGAAAGTGAGGCTGAGAAGATTAAGTACTGAGGTTTACATAGCTAATAACTACTGAGCTAGGATTTGAAAATACTGCATCTAGTTAAAAAGTAACTGTTCTCTTTAATTAGAACCAATTAAAAAATAAAAGGAAAAAAATAAAAGGAATACCAATATAAAATGTGCTTTCTCATCTACCTCTTCAAAAGTGAAAGTACTCTGATATAAGATGTTATAAAATGCAGGCCATATAGTGCATGATTCCATTTATATAAAAACTTCAGAATAAGCAAATCCTTAGAGACTAAAGTAGATTAGTGGTTGCCAGGATCTGGGGCAAAATTGGGGAGTGATTGCTAACATGTATGTGTTTCTTTTTTGAGTGATGAAAATATTTTGGAATTGCATAGTGGTGATGTTTGTATAACATTGTGAATTATACTGAATTGTATGCTGCAAAATGTCGAATTTTACCTAAAAAATATTGCAAAAAAAGTAAGTTATTGTTTAATCATTATCAATAAGAGGGAAAAAGTTGAGGATCTAAGCAATTCTTATATAAGTCATATTTATATAAATCAAGAAAAGGTCTAATGGAATATATATTCATGAAAATTTACAACTCACACATACATATATGCAAACACTTGCACGGACTTGCACACACACACACACACACACACACACCCTGGATAGTCTCTACCATAAAAT